TCTGTTTGCACAATGATGCTTTAGATGTGTAGAGCTCTTAGATATATAGAGTCACTGATTATTTGATTTCTTTTGTTTTCTTTCCTTTTTGACAAGGATCTTGGTCTGCAGCCCTGGCTGGTTTATCTCTTCATCCATCCTCCTATCTCTGACTCCTGAATTTAGACCTCATCAATTTCTATTTCTTTCACTATTGAAGGCATCATGAAGACATACCTAAAGAATTGTATATTGGATAAGCCAATATCTAACTATATAAATATTATAAATATAATATAAAATCTAGAGGCAGAAGAAAGGAAAAGGGGAAAAAAATAAAGGACTAGACCTGCATTTGGAATGGAAGGAGGAACTACAGGAAGGAGAAGTAATGCCTCCCTTTCCCACTGTAAGATTGATGGCTGAGGCACCTATAAGAAAAGATCAGCCAACTCGAACTTACACATTTGTTTACTATAAATATTGCTGCAGTGGCCCTCAGTAAAGAAGACCAATGAAACAGGGTAGCCTGTGTATTTCTGATATTTTTAGAGATTTTATTCATTTATGTCGGCCTGCATGAGTTCATGTGCACCACCTGCATCCAGGGACCTATAGAGGCCTAAAGAGAAAGTCAGATCCATTAAACTAGAATTATAGGTGGCTGTGAACTGCCATACTCCATGCAAGAACAGTAAGTAGTCTTAACCACTGAGCTATTCCTGCTGCCCAACATGAATATTTCCATGTGTGCACAGTTGTTCAGAGTATGACTAAAGGAAAAGAATGTGATCTAGTAGGAATTAACGTCAGTAACTTAGTAATGCGTGTTTAGATCTCCCCGTGTGCCAGTATCTTCAGAAGTGAGGGCTTTCCTTTCCTTCTGGTACAGAGAGGGACCTCTGCAGTGCTGGCCTCTTGACCTGCTGTAGAGGAAATCAGAATTCTTCTGTTCCCTGCTTCAGGAGAGAAGCTCAGAGATGTGGAGATGACTTCTGTTTTCCCAAATGCCAAGTTGCCATGTTTGGGAGTACTGTGTCCTGAACCTCAAGACTAACTTTACAAGTAGGTGAATTTCAAACAGATGAACAATAAAACAAAAAAAAATGCGAAAACAGTTTAATTATGCTCAACTCTACTTTGTCAAACGTTAGCCAGTTGTCCCTCTGCCGTCAAATGCCATAAAAATAGCATGGGTCCCCTACCCTCCAAAAAAGCAGGTTTTAAAAAAGTGAATCCAAGGTGAGTTCTCCTGAAAGGACTAGGGGAGTATCAGAATGAGAGACCGCACAGGAATACCTCAAGGGTATGAGGGGAAAATCAAAGGAAAGGAAAGCACTGTGACTGGGCACTTGGCCAAGGCCATGTCTTTACTAGGTTCCTGAGACACAACCCTAAACACATCCAGACTGGTACTTCTCCTGCCTGGCCTTATCGGATGGGGAGAGAAACTTCCCATCACTCACACGGAAACTCATGCCATCTTTAGCTCCAGTTCTAGGGTTTCCATGTCCTCTTCTGGCCTCAGCAGGTACCAGGCATGCAAATGGTGCACAGATATTCATACAGGCAAAACATGCATTCACATTAAGTAAAGCAAAAAATTTAAAGAATAATAAAAGAGGGTGTTGCTGTCATTTATATAAGGACAACAGACACAAGCAGGAATGACAGTCACAAACCTTTACACTGCTGTCATGATTTCATGTGTGCACATGAGGACCAAGAAGCTGAAGCCTCTCAAATATGCACCAGTGACCGAAATATTGTAAGAATATTAATTTTGAGAATTTTACACATGAATACTATATTTACATCACTTGGCACCCCTCCTTTTCTTCCAGTGCCCTGCAACTACTTCTCAAATTCAAGACCTTGTTTTCTTTAAATATATACACACATTATACAAACGTGTGTGTGTGTGTGTGTGTGTGTGTGTGTGTGTGTGTGTGTGTGTGTGCGCGTGCACGTGAAGTGTGAAACTAATTAGTCTTATCAATATAAATCAGGAGTCAGATATCGGGGTAATAACCTGAAAGATCAGATCTTAGAGAAAGATCTCAAAGCAGAGGAGCAGCTACCAGTGACATCTTACCTCTCCAGATCCTCTGACCAAAAGGGCTGAGATTCTGTCTCCACCCCGATTTACCACTTCTTCTCTCCACCTCCAGAGTGCTGGGATTAAAGGCATGAGCCACAACCGCTCAACTTCTATGGTTAACCACTGGCTAGCTCTGCCATCTGATCTCCAGGCAAGCTTAATTAGTCAGAACACAAACAAAATATCACACAGTGTGTGTGTGTGTGTGTGTGTGTGTGTGTGTGTGTGTGTGTGTGTGTGTAAAAGTTACTCAGTCCATCTAGTGTTACTCATATGTGCAAGAGTTGACCACTTGAGATTGGATAATTTATCAGGGAGCTAGCTTATCTTGGAAAAAACTGATTCTCTTTCTCAGAAGTCATTGATTGCCTGTAACTTGTCATGTAGGGGTGGGGGCTTGTGAAATTTTCCCCATCCATGTTGGCATGTGACCAGTGTGACAACCGTGCAGGTCTTGTTACCTTATTGTTGAGATTGCATGGGTGCATCTTGCCTGTCAGGACTAGAGGACATTATCTCCCAGAGTAACTGCTGGTCCTCTGCTCTCACAGCCCTTCCACCCTCTTTTCTGTGATTTTCCTGAACCTTGGATGTAAACGTTGTATTCTAGATGTACTAACTGGGGCTGGACACCCCGTCACCTGTTTTGTGTACTGTGACTACTTATGAATCTACATAGTATCTATCCTTGATCTGCTAGGGAAAAGCTTTGATGAGAGTGAGAGCTCCAGTCACCTATGGGTATAAAGGTAACTGTAGAAAGGGGTTTTCCTTGTGTGGTATTGAGTAATGGGAATTTTGTTAGGTAATCTATGCTTTGGGGATGAGTATTAACACCCTATGTGGTATACACACACACACACACACACACACACACACACACACACACACACACACACACACATACACACACACACACACACACAGATACAGCAGAAGCAATTATAGAACTTTGGAAATCCACAAATGGTCAAAATGCAGAGATAACAGTGGGGTGTCCAGCCATCGTTATTACAGCTACAACACAACCTCTCTCTCTCCATCTTTCTCTATATACATAACATATACATATATATTATATATAAACGTGTGTATATATACATGTAGATGTATATATACATATATGAGAACATATTTTTTAAATGACATAACTTCTATTAAATTTGTTCTTTGATAACTCCATGCATGTAGAAATGTACAAAGTGCGTTCTGATTGCCCTCACCCTACCCTGTCTTACCTGTCAATCCCTCCTCCCCTCTACATGTTCTTTTCCTGCATCTGTGTCTTTGTTTTGTGACCCACCCAGACTCCTGTGTGACCATGGATTTAGGTCTGTTCATGAACCTGGTAGGCTCATCACTGGGTTCCCAATTGAAAGCAATGACTTCCTCTACCCCAGAATCTGTCGGTAGCCCGTAGTTTAGTAGGGAGGGGTATGGCCCTGTGTAACCCTACTGGCAATGACTGGTTGACAAGCCCAATCTTATACAGGCCCCATGTAGGTGGCAGTAGTTGATGTGAGATCATTATTTAATGACTTTGCCGTGCACTGAAGATAGCATTTTACAGTACTTTACAGGACAACAACAGAAAATGAATCCTTTTGGGTTGAACAGATGCTTGAGAATTGGAAAATAATTTCAGGGGAAGAAAGCAGTCTTATTTCTGATTTTCACTGTAGCAGATTAATTTTTAGTAACATATTTTCCCCAAATGGCCACCCAAAGCAACTTCCAGCCTACTCTACCAGCATATCAAATGTGGTCAAAAGACCACCACTCACAATTATTACAGCAAACTTCTTTAGGAAGGTTCCTGTTGGTTACCTGCCCGTCTATGAACTGATCAGAGTTGATGAGTGGTGTCAGGCCTAATCTGCCAGGCCTTGGCTGCATGCCCACCCCAGGTAACTGGAGTCAGCTTCCCTCAAACAAACAGTGTCCTTTGCGTAGAAGACAAAGAAGGTGGATATGGACAGCAGTGACTAGTTAAATAAAAATTAATTTGGTTGAAAGTGATATTATAAAGAAAAACTAGCATGTGCTATTTGCATAAAATCTATGGCATTGCTTTTTAATTTCCAGATAAGAGTGGACTCTTAAATGCAAACCAAGAAATAAAATTATAAAATAAAAGTGATAAGCCTACAAATGAATGAGTGTAAGGAAATATACTCTTTTCCAATGACCCTAGATTATATTAATTGAAGATATTAAAAATATTAGGAGACATGAGTTGATACTATCTTTAAGTCAATACATATTTTTGTTTATTATGACTTAGCTGTATATTATATAAGAAAAATAAGGATTATTTCTCAGTTCCATGTACCATATTAGTTCAGTGATGCCTGGTCCTCTGATTAGGGATCTTTAAAGGAAGCCATAATGGAGGCAGAGGAAGGGTGACAAGGTCAATTAAAATGACTCATAAGGTTTAATCAAGGAACTAATTGAAAAGTTGTTTCATTCTGAAATGATGGTGTCAATACATTTAGGAAACACTCACAATTTGTTTTTCACAATTGATTACATGATTCAAAGAACAAGTGAATTTTTTATGGTACACTTTTAGTTTTCTAAGTTATCTAGATTTTTAAAATATGTCTTGAATGTACATAATTTTTAAATGAGAAATATAGACAAAAATATTTCCTTAAGGGAAAAAAGAATTATGACATATAGGAAAATTGGCCTCACCTCCTGAAATGATGCCATTATGGTCCTTCTCACAGATGTCTTTTCAATAGCTACCCACAGATACATCTGAAACTGTGAAGTTGAATGATTGTAGCCCTCAGAGACTGTGGAGTTTCTGAAGTGCAAATAGCAGACAGGTGTGTGCCCTAGGACAGTGCTGGAGGAAGCGATGAGAATGTGGTCACAGCCCCTGATTCCCCACATTTTCACTCTTTTCCAGAACAAGCTACTGGCACCGAAGAGGACCAGCGGGGAGGCTGCAGTGTGGTGGAAGCCATCTTTAAAGTTCTGTCCCACTGTCACTTGTCCCCACAAACATTTGGAAATGTTTTCCTGAGCTACATGGAAGAAGAACAGCTCTGGGACTCTTTGTACAACATTCCAGGTATGGGAAACTTGCCATTGAGAAGACAAGTGCCTTGTTAATACTTCCATTGTCTTTGTATGTGTTTTCAAAGTTTGATAGATTCCAGTTCTTCTGACTCTTTTGTATAAGTTTCCATGCATCTTTTTATTCTAAGGGTTTCTGTTCAGAACCATGAACCACTTATCTCCTGTCAAATGTGATGTACTTGGAACAAGGTGGAGAGAGGTCAAGGGAAAATTATTGAATGTATGTTCTCTTCTGATTTTAAGGAAATTTCCTGTCATAACACTTCGATTTGTATTTATTATACATTATGTTATGCTGTTTAACATATAAGATATTAGTAAGATATGACAAATATTTTCTCATACTTTGGTCCATGTATTCTATAAAATAATTGTCCTAACTTGGCATAAGCTAGAGGCATTTGGGGAGAGGGACCCACAGTTGAGAAAATTCCTCCTGTAGGCAAGTTTGTAGGGCTTTTTCTTTCTTTCTTTTTAATTTAAAATAGATTTTTGTGCAGTATATTCTAAGTCACAGTTTCCCCACCCCATCCCTTCACAGAGCCTCCCCATTGCCCCACCCTTACAACTCCACGCCTTCTTTCTCTCTTTAGAAAACAAACAGGTAAAAACAAACAAACCAGAACAGAACAAAACAGACAGAGAAAAGGAAAACAAGAACAAGGAAAGAGCATGAGAAGCACATGTATACACTGAGACACACTCCTGCACACACACACACAAAATGCACATGTGTGCACACACAGGAAACCCATAAAAACACAAGATCAGAAACCATAATATATAAGCGAAATATCTGTAGGGTGAAAGATAATGCTTGGACAAACCATAACAAGACAAAATATCTCCCCAAATACTATTGAGTTTGTTACGAGTTGGCCATGGTTTGAGTTGAGTGTGGTTTGTTTACCTGAAGAAACTCCACTGGAGAACACTAAGTTTTCCTTTGCAAGCAGTTGTCAATTGGAGATAACTTCTGGGTTAGGGATGGAGATCTGTCCGCTCCCCCAGTTAGCACTGTGTCCCCATCTGCCCCAGAAGCATGCAGAGCCTGCGCATGCTGCCACTTTCTCTGCGTTCATCCGTGCGTCAGTCCTGTAGTGTCAGGAAGACACTGTTTCCTTGGTGTCTTCCATCACCACCGGCTCCTCCAGTCTTTTTCCTCAGTCCTGAGGGGAGGGTTTTGATGAAGATGTACCATTTAGGACTGGGTGTTTCAAGGTTTGTCACCCTCAGAATATTTTCTCGTTGTGGGTCTCTGTATTTATTCCCTTCTACTGCAGGTGGAAGCTACTCTAATGATGGCTAAGCAAGACACTGATCTATGAGTACAGCAGAGTGTCGTTATATGGCTGCACATCTTTAGCAGAGCAATAGTTTCTAGGCCATGGCCTATCCAGTCCCAGGTCTATGACCACCTGAGCATTGCCAGGTTTGGGTTCCATCGCATGGGGTAAGCCTTAAATAGTAGGGCATTCTCTTGATTTATGATTGGTGTAGGAGCGCCCAGTGCATGGTGCCACCTGAGGGCAAGTATGCCTGGGTTGTGTAAGAGAGCAGGCTGAGCAAGATGAAGAAAAAGCCAGTACGCATGCTCCTCCACAGTTCCTGCTTCAGCTCTTGACTCTAGGTTCCTACCATGCTTGAGTAACTGTCTTGACTTTCTCAGGACAGAATAGTACCTGGAAGTGTAAGATGTAATAGCCAGAATCTGGAAACAACCTAGATGCCCTTCAACTGAAGAATGGATAAATAAAATGTGGTACATATACACAATGGAATACTACTCAGCAGAGAAAAACAATGACATCATGAGGTTTGCAGGCAAATGGATGGATCTAGAAAAAATCATCCTGAGTGAGGTAACCCAGACTCAGAAAGACAAACATGGTATCCTCATCGGAGGATACTAGATGTAAAACAAAGATGACTAGACTGCTACTCACAACTCCAGGGAGGCTACCTAGAAAACAGGACCCCAAGAAAGACACAGGGATCACCCAATGACAGAGAAATGGATGAGATCTACATGAACAACATGGACATGAGTGGGGGTAATGAAGGGCAAGGGTCGAGGGAAAGAGAGCTTAGGGGAGCGGGAGATCCCAACTGGATCAAGAACAGAGAGGGAGAACAAGGAATAGGAGACCATGGTAAATGAAGACCACATGAGAATAGGAAGAAGCAGAGTGCTAGAGAGGCCCACAGAAATCCACAAAGATACCCCCACAATAGACTACTGGCAATGGTCGAGAGACAGCCCGACTGACCTACTCTGGTGATGGGATGGCCAAATACCCTAATTGTCATGCTAGAAACCCCATCCAATGACTGAGGGAACCGGATGCAGAGATACACGGCCAGTCCCCAGGTGGAGCTCCAGGAGTCCAATTGGTGAGAAAGAGGAGGGTTTGTATGAGCGAGAATTGTTGAGACCAAGATTGGAAAAAGCACAGGGACAAATAGCCAAACGAATGGAAACACATGAACTATGAACCAATGGCTGAGGGGCCCCCAACTGGATCAGGCCCTCTGAATGGGTGAGACAGTTGATTAGCTTGATCTGTTTGGGAGGCACCCAGGCAGGACCGGGTCCTGTACTCAGTGCATGAGTTGGCTGTTTGAAACCTGGGACTTATACAGGGACACTTTGCTTAGCCTGGGAGGAGGGGACTGGACCTGCCTGGACTGAATCTACCAGGTTGAACTCAATCCTCAGGGGAGTTCTTGCCCTGGAGGAGATGGGAATGGGGGGTGGACTGGGGGGAAGGTGGAGGGGGCAGGAGGGGGAAGAACAAGGGAATCCGTGACTGATATGTAAAATTAAATTAAATTATAAAATAAATAAAGTTTAAAAAAAAAAGAAAGAAATACTTGCTTCCCCAAGCTGCTTTTGGTCATGGTGATTTATTACAGCAATAGAAAGCTAACTAGGAAACTAATAGACAAATAGACTATCAGTCATCTTTCTTTAGATAATGGGCATTTATTATTATGAAAGTAATGCTTTTGTCTTCAAAGTTAGCATGCCTTCTCATTCCTTTGTTAAAAATATGGTTTTTTTTAAAAATTACTACTGTGTATTTGTGTTTGTGTGTTCTTATGTGTGTGTGCACGCATATATGCCATTGTGTGTATGCATATATGCTACAGCATGTGTGTATATGTGTATGTGTGTATGTTTGTGTGCATGCATATGTGCCACAGTGTGTGTGTACATGCCTATATGCCACAGTGTATATGTGTGTGTTGTGTGTGTGCATATATGCCAGTGTGTGTGTGTGTGTGTGTGTGTGTGTGTGTGTGTGTGTGTGTGTATGTGTGTGTGTTTCTGCATATATGCCACAGTGTGTGTCTGTCGGTCGGAGAACATCTTTGAGGGTGGATTCCTTCACTATTTTAAGACAGGCTTTTCCTTGTTTTCTTCTACAGTGCCATACACTGCAGCCTATTTCCCTCTCAGGCTTCCAGGTGATTCCTCCGTGTCTCTGCCTCTCTTCTCACATGTAAATGTTGGAATTCCAGACATGCGCTGCCATGCTATGATTTCATGTAGGTTCTGAGCATTGAAGAAACAAACTCTTCGCTGTCAGGCTTCCATGGTTAGCATTTTCACCTTGGGATGACAATAACGTGCTTTTCCACGTGTGTCCTGCCTTCCTGCAGCAAAGCAGGATGTTACAGTCGGGATGCTGTAATCTGAGGTGTTCACAGCACGCTCACCTTCAGACCAGGCAAAGACTTGCACATTGTTTCATCCTTAGTATCCCACCTTTAAACACCCATATTTAATGTCTCTGGGAGAAAGGGGGAAGAACTTGGAGGCAGTTGTCATTGTCCTTTCCCTCCACTGCTCTTTACATCAGTTACGTTTTTTGCTCAGCCTGTGTGCTTTCTTACACTCTGCTTTGGTATTATTGTCACTATTTCTCAGGCTCTAGGTGGAATGGCTGACCGGCTCAGAGTCATGGTGTTCCTGATCTTCCTGGACGTTCTGACTGTTCCACATATCACTTTAATCTCACTTTACTGTTCTGAAGTTAGTAGTTTTCATTTTCCCTGGTCATTATCATTCTGACATTGATCTAGATAACTTCATATAATGGTTTCAAAAAACAGAATCTATTTATGTGAAGATTCTGTGACAATTATCCTTTTTTAAGTCTTGTCTCTTAGTTTCCCTGCATTCTCTCACTGCTTTCTTTTTCCCCAGAAGACAGGCGGATTTCTTAGTACAGCACTAATGTAGGACTGCTCTATTTAGAATTTGGTCATTAAGGAACAGAAATTAAACAACCCTTAAACTCACCACCCTGCTGCTTTAGCGCTTTTTGAATTCTCTCAAAAGATTGTAATCAGTTAGCCTTAGACTTCAAACACTCCTTCTTCTTCAAGTGTTAAGTCCTTGAACCATTCTTCATGACATGAAACTGTACTGACATGGAGTGATAAGGTCGACTGTAGTGGGTAGCCATTCCAGCTTTGATCTGGAAGTTCCAACCCCCATTGAGACTTCGGCAACTGTCATGCCTACAAGGCGGGGAGAAAGGAGGCGCCTGGGGACCTGAGATCTGGATCGGCGGGCTCTCTCTCTGTTGCGGGACCCTGGACTGGAGAGGTGTACCAAGCAGAGCTCCAGAGAACACCGCTGGACTGCGATACACCTTCCCCAGACTCCGCGACCTACCTATCCCTTAATTTGTAAGTTACGCCATTAAATAAATCTCCTTTTATCTACGTGGAGTGGCCTTAATAATTTCACCAATATCTGGCGCCCAACGTGGGGCTCGAACCCACGATAACAGTCGACTTAATGTGCTGGTTCAAAAGGGAACAAGTGACCGTGTGCTTTGCTTTGCATGTGTGTGTTCATTACACACACATTTGCGGAGCTCATAGCTCATACCCTTGTCATTTCGCTCCCCAAAATTTCAGAAGTTTTTCTGTGCTTCTGTTGCTAATCGTGGTTATTTATGACACGATAAAAAGATA